CAGGGGCTTCCTCCTGGGGGAAGCCCGGACGCTCCCCGCCAGCCCCCCCAAAGCAAAGCCTCACCTTCCAGATAGGCAAACCTCCCATATTCTTGCAAGACTGGGAGCAGCTGGGAGAGACCCTGGGCATCCCGCAAGGCCTCCCTGTCCTCGGGTCGCAGCTCCAGCCAGAGGGTGCCTCCATCGGCCAGGAAGTATAGCTCATTGAAGAGGGCCGACTTGTACCAGGGGGGCAGGTCGCTGCGAGAGGCACACGGGGTCCTCAGTGGGTCCTCTTCCTCCTCCTCCGAGGGGCGGGCTCACCCCCAGCAGGCCTGCCCACCTGGCCGGGTGCCCCAGGAAGAGCCAGGGCCAAGGCACCCGCTCAGCAGAAAGAAGGCAGCGCCAATGGGCGGGGGGAGGTAGCCCCCCCAAGGCTCACAGAGTCCGTGCAGCCCCACGCAGGGGACGAGAAGCCAAGGGTGAGGAGAGGAGACAGCATGGAAGCAGCCTAGCCTGGCCAGAGGGGACCATGGCGGCACCTCAGCAGAGGGAGAGCGGGAAAACTCTGGCGGGCACTGGGTCCCTTCCTGCACCTCGGAAGCCCCTCACCCACAGGGCGCTACCTGTTTGCCAAAATGGGCCCCTGCCAGGCCTCGATCTTCTCCTCCCAGACCTCGTAGCGGCTCAGCAGGTGGTGGGAGAGTGCCGGGCAGGCGTTCCCGTCACTGCCAAAGAAGCGGGTGTACCACCTGCCGGCAGAGGGGAAGAGGGACCCTCAGCCAACCAGAGCATCAGCTGGGAAGCAAAGAGGGCGGCCGAGTCCCTCCCCGTCACACCCAGCGGAGGGGGGGCAATTTCCCCAACGGGATGCCAGGGAAACCGGGCCTGTTGTGGGGAGGCTGCCCTGCCTTTTGCCGCTGCCCTGCAGGCTGGACAGGGACAGCCAGGGGGTCGGAGAGGCCCACAGGCCGTAGGAGGCCCACGCCTGAGCCCAGCAGGGCTGCCCCCACCTCCACCCCACAGGTTGGTCCCGAGGCAGCCCCACATCCTGGATCAGGTGGGGGTGAGCTCCGTGAGTGTGCTGCATGCTGGCACAGCCCTGGGCAGAGCTGCTGCGTGGGTCACCCAGGTGGGCCCACCTCCAAAGCACGGAGACCCCCAGGAGGGAGCCAGCCCTTCCCGGAAGCACCCACCGGCAATGCTCCTTCTCCGCCGATCCAAAGCGGATGCGAGGCATGTCCCAGGCCAGGCCCAGCTCCAGCACCCCATGCCCGTGACCCGCCACCACGCACGTGGCACACACGGCTGCCGCACACACCTCCCCCTTCTCCGTGGGGGGGCTCTGACCTGCAAGAGAGCCCTGAGCATCAGGGGCCTGGCCTCCTGCCTTTCCCTGCCCCCCCCCCCAGTAGCCCAGGGCTCACCTTGAGGAGATGCCAGCCGGCCATCCGCCAAGAGATCCTGCCAAACCTCCTGCCCGGTGCCAGCAGGGTTGAAGGCTGTGAGGTGGGTAACAGCAACACCTTCCTGGGGTGGGGTGGGGGGGACAAGAAAGACGGGCAGGATAGAGGGGACGGATAAGCCAGGCCCCCCTCCCTCCCTCCCTCCTCAGTTTTGCCTTGATGGGATAGGGGTGAAGACGGCGGTGAGGAGCAACGGAGCAGGGCAGTCGTGGGCGATGGGAGGGCAGCTCCAGAAGAGGCTGCCGGGAGGGGTGGGGTGGGGTACCAGCAGGGGCCTTCCAGAACCCAGAGGCACCAGAGGGGGGAATGCACCCACCACCTCTCGGGCCTGGCACAGAAGCCGCAAGGGGGGCTCTGCCAGCCTGCCAGAGGCAGCCCCGAAGGGCCTGGAAGGCTCCCGCGGACCGTTCCTGGCAGGGTCTCCGCGGGGCCTACCTTCTCCCGGGCAGAGATGGCTAGGGTGTAGGGGTTCGTAGGAGTCGCGTGGTGCAGCATCACCCCACGGACGCAGCTGCCCCCCTTCTCCACGCTGAAGGGCTCGTTCCAATGGCCGCCCCGGCGGTCCTCCTTGGCCTCCGTGCCGTTTTGGAAGGTGAACATGATGGAGACCTCCAGCTCCTCCGTGCCCTTGTTCTCCACCTCCCAGACGAAAGCGCCCACAGGGAGGCTCGAGTCCTGAGGGCACAAGATGGGCGGCTCGTCTGGGCTCAGGCCAGGCCTCCCGGCCCCCCTTCCAGGAGCATCCGAGGGCTACCGGATGGAGGAGCCAAGGCCCCCGCCCCCCTGCCCAGAGGAAACATCGCCCATCCCGTGCACAGGTGGTCCTCAGGCTACAGTCATACGTTCCGTGGCCAAAGGTTCAAGGGTGCTGAAAGGAACGGCCTACAACCGGCCATTCCCACCTGCAGCTGTCCCAGCATAGCCCCCGGCCGGGTCCTCCTGATTCCACCCCCGCTGTGGCAGCCTCCCTCCTGGGGCCACCTGACCCCCTTCTGCGACTTTCCAGCTGGCTCCCGACACGGGGAGGGGGGGGATTCACTCAATATCAGCACCTGGTTCACGTAACAACTGCAGCCACAGTGGCAGGAGAGATTGCAAAGTTGGGCGCAATTCACTTAATGACCACCTTGCTCAGCAATGGAAATTCTGCTCTCGGTTGTGGTCATAGGCCGAGGATTACCTGGGCAGCCTTTAATCGCCTCGACCGGCCTTCCCTGGTAGCGGATTCTGGGGGACCCGCCCCCCCTTCTCCATCCCAGAGCCTGCCCCCTCCCAGAGGGCGGCTCCTGCGGCAGCTTTTGCCAAGAGGACGGCTGGCTTCCCACAGGCACCACTGGGGAGGGCCCTGGCCGTGCCTGGTGACCTCTGGAGAGCTCCCAAGGACGAAGGAGGGGGCTGCCTTTATCCTGCCCCCCTGGATCTCCCCGTCGGCCACAGTATCCTGTTGGGCTGACTAGGGGGGAGTCCCATGTCAGGCGTCCTTCCTCCTCCTTGCGTGGAATCACTGGGGTTGGGGGGCAGGGAAAGGCCCAGCCCGAGGCCTCTTCAGGTGGCGTGTCCTCTCGGCCCTCTTTCACCCCTACGTGAACCCCTGGGGGACGTCACTCAACAGCATGGGGGCCTTTAGCACCTTCCATTCTGCACCTCTGCCCAAGCCGCACAGGTGGTGCCCTTCGGGGGCTTCTCCAGTGCACGGAGGAGGCTGTGGCAGTCCGGGGGAATTAGCAGGGACTCAACCCTAGCAAGACGCAGGGGCTGTGGGCGTTTGGGTTTGTTACCGCCATTCAGTGGGTGTGCAATGGGGGGGAGGGGCGGGCTCCTGGGAAGTGGCAGCTGTGGCTAGCGGGGCCTTTGTGCAGGATTACCTCGCACTCTGCTTGCACCCATTCCTGGAGCGGGAGGCCCCGCTCGGGCTTCCCATGCCCCCGTTGTTTCCCGTTTGGACCCCTGCACTACTCTGCCCATGGGGCGACCCTGGTCCCCTTTAAAGCCCCAAGTGGCATAGCAGCGGGTTATCCGGCAGGCTGCCTCTCCTGGAGGGCATGGCTAGAGTGGCGAGGGCTGGAGAAGGAGGCGGCTCCAGAACAGGAAAGCTCTCCCTTCTGCCCAGGCAATACGGCTCTTTCTGGCTCTTTCTCCCTGTGGCTTCAGCTCGGGCCACTGGAAAAGGGCCACGGAGAGGGGGCTCAGTGGTCGCCCGGAGGAGGAGCGCATCGGCAGCCTACTCCACTCCCTCCATCAGCTCCCTTTTAAATTGCAACCTCAAGCAGGCAGTTACACTTTACAGATCACTCCAAAGTCAGACCGACTTTGGCAGGCAGGCTGATTACAAATTACACAGCCCAGGGCGGATGTTTTCTCTGAGCAGCAGGTTCGGATGAGGAAATTTGCTGGAGCAATTAAATCCAGCAGGTGTGTGGCTGGAAGCCAAGTGGGGGAGGGGAAGCGGTGCAACTGCAGGCGGAGGCTCAGGGGTTGAAGCCCGGGCCTTCCCCAGCGCCACGGGATGGGGGGGGGCTCACCTGGTAGTCGTGCGGGATGACCGGTGTGATTTGCCGGCAGGTCAGCACCACCTCCTGCCCAGGCAGCTGGTAGACGGTCCAGGCGCGCGGGTAGAGCGCGTGGTAGAAGGCGTAGTGGCCGCAGAAGCCCCAGTTCCAGCCCTGCAGCTGGCTGGGCTTCTCGGGGGAGAGCACCTGCTGGTAGACCGTCCGGCCCTTCCGCCGCAGGCAGACCGTGAACTGAAGGGAGAGGGAGGGCCAGGCCGGCCGTCAAGGCGCCGCGGCGGAGGGCCGCGCCGAGGAGCCCCGGGGCGCGCCTCCTCGCCCGACCCACCTGGTCCGCCGCCACGGCCCGGTGCTGGTACATGCCCGGCGAGAGCTGCCACCTGCAGAAGTCGCCGCGCCAGCCGCGCGTGACGGTGCCGCCGCCCAGGCCCCCCAGCGGGCAGCCTGCGGAGAAGGGAGGAGCGGGAGTGGTTGGACGGCGCCCCCGGCGCCCCCCTCCCCTCCCCCGGGCGGCCCCTACCGTAGATCGGGCGCAGCGGCTGCGGGTGCAGCAGGTCGATGAAGGGCAGCCGCTTCTCCACGTGCGTCTTCCGGTACCACCAGACGAGGTACCTGCGGGGGAAGCGGGGGGGGGGGTCAGCCGGGGGGTGGCGCGCCCTCTCGCCCCCCTCCGGGGAAGGCCCCCCCCCTACCTGAAGGCCAGCCCCAGGTGCCGCAGGGCGTGCGCGGGGGAGACGTCGCCCGCCTGCAGGGGCTTCCTGCGCTCGGCGAAGCGGTGGGCCAGGCACAGCCGCCACCCGAACCGCGGCACGCCGCGCCCCGCCGCCCGGCCCTCGTAACGGCTCATCAGCTCCCCCGCCGCCGCCGCCCCGTCCTCCGCCCGCGCGTCCCGCCCGCAGCCCGCGCAGCCCCCGGTCGCCATGGCGGGATCGGCCGGCGCGTCGCGGCGGATTCCCAGGCGGCGCCAAGGAGCTGGGAGCGGAGTGGGTGGGGCCTAGCAGGCGGGCCCGGCCCCGCCCCGCCCCGCCGAGCGAGAGGGAGCGAGTGCGCGTGCGCGTGCCACGTGGCCGGCCCCGCCCTCCGCGGCCATGATCGAGGTCTCGGCGTCGCTGCTGCGGGGCGCCGCTTTCCTGGCCGGGGAGGCGCTGGAGTGCCTGGTGACGCTGCGCAACCCGCTCCCGCCCGACGCCACCTCTGCCTCCAGGTACGCCCCGCCGGGGGGCGCCCCCCGCCCCTCCGGCGCCGCTGCAGGCCGCCCCTTGGTTCGGTCCCTTCCCCCCCCCCCCCCCCCCCCCCCCCCCCCCCCCCCCCGGCCGGCCGCGCCTTGGTGCGGTCCCGCCCCCCGCCCGCCCGCCCGCCCGCCCCCCGTGTCGCCCTCGGCCCGGAATGTCCGCCCCGCGTGCCCCGCTGGTAACCGGATGCAGAGTCTGGAGGGTCCTCGGAGGTCCTCTAGTCCAGCCCCCATTCCCAGGCAGGGGCCGCCCGGTCTCCTCTTAAAAAACCCTCCAGGGTGGAGGAGCCGCAGCTTCAGCTCCGCCGGCCGGTGGTCCTGCCTGCCCGGAAATCCCCCCCGAGTTCCCGGTTGCTCCTCTCCGCGGCCGGTTGCTCCTGCCTTCTAGTGCTTTGGGGGGTAGGACGACCCCCCCCCGCCTGCTTCCTTGGGGCCGCCCCCCAAACCCCGGGGGGGGGGCTGTCGGCATCCCCCCCCCCCGCGCTCCAGTAGAGCAGACTCGGCCGCTTCTTGCAACCGTCCCTCCTCTGTTTCGGCCCCCCAGCCCCCCTCTCTGCATCGGGGCGGCCAGAACTGGAGGTCCAAGCGTGACCCTCTGCGAAGGCGGCCTGAGAACTGACTCCGCCCGCACTTGATCCGGGTCCCCCTGACCTCACCCCTCTCGCTTGAATCTCCTTTGGTCAGATGGGGCCCAGGGCTCGAGTCGGTGGAGACCCATCCGGAGAGACCCATCCTCAGCCTCTGCGGGCGAAAGCCACCCAGGACCCGAGACTGCTTTGCAGAGGCTGACGGGAGCTGCCCCCTGGGTGATGCTGTGTGGAGGGGAAGGCAGGCACGCAGGGCCCCCTCCGCAAGGGTCTCTCCTGGGCCCAGCGCTCTTGGTTGCACCCAGAGAGCTAAACCCTGATTAAGGGGCTAAAACGGGAAGAAGAACAACGGTTGCAGGAACCGGGCCTGGCTAGTCTAGTGCAGAGAAGGACCAGGGGAGACAGGAGAGCATCTTCCAATACCTCAAGGGCTGCCCCAAAGAAGAGGGAGTCAAGCTATTCTCCAGAGCACCTGAAGGGCAGGACAAGAAGCAAACTCAACAAGGAGAGAAGCAACTTAGAACTAAGGAGGAATTTCCTGACAGTGAGAACAATTAACCAGCGAACAACTTGCCTCCAGAAGTTGTGGGGGGGTGGGGAGATCCCATTTCATCTCCCTGTTTATTTTTATTTATTAGGTTTCCTGGTGGCTTATAAATGATAGAAACAAGTGAAAAATAAAAGATTAAAAAGAGCTGACATTCAAACATTATTAAAAGCTGCTCTCTAGCCCTGCCTACAAGAGCCAAGAGGTGGATGGGATGGGAATGAGGACTTTTTACTGCCCCCTCGGGGCCTGGCCAGCAGGTCAAGCTGGCTTTTGATTCCCTCCCAGTCGGCCACAATGGAGGGGCCAGTTCTCACCTCTGCAGCGAGACTGGGCCCACAGCAGAGAAGGCTGTGACCTCCTTGCCCTGCTGCTTCTGTTCCTTAACAGGCAGGGTCCATAGCAGGCCTCTTCCACTGGGGTGAGAGGGTTGGGCTAGCCCCCTCCTCAGACACCCTGGGCTTGAATTTGATCCGGAAGCAAACCAGCAGCCAATGCAGCTCGCAGGCTAACCGTGTTGTATGTGCAGCCCAAGGAGCTCCCAAGAGTGTGTCCAGGGAGCCACACTGCCTTCTGCACCGGCTGCAGCTCATGTGTAGAGCGCATGTTTTGTTATTTGTTAAATTGTTATCGGTAGACTGAGATGGGGGACCATATACATTGTTTAAGTAAATTATAAAGTGTTGGATGGGGTCACACTGTCCCAAATAGACCCAGGGAGGTCCTCCTGGACTCAAGGAGCAGACGGCCCGGAGGGGTGACCCCATGTGGCTCACCTCACAGGGATTCCTACCTTGGTCACCTCCGCGGCCTGTGTGGGGCTGCCCTGGAGGAGCGTCCAGGGACTTTGGCTGCTGCACACAGCGCATGGCACAGGCAGCTGGGGATGTTCCTAGGCAGGCATGTGCTGTTCCTCTGTGCCGTGAGCTTCCTCGCTTGCCCGTTTGCCTCTGGGTGCAATTCCAGGGCCCTCCCTCTGCCAGCAAAGCACGTCTTCCTTCATTAACCCTCTCAGAATCCATTTTTACTTACAATTATTCGATTGCTTTGATTGGTTTTTACATTCAGTTTTAAAGGGTTGGTTTTATTGCACACTGTCCAAAGTTCCCTTGTATGAAATGGGCTGCCATATAAATTTGATAGCTAAACATAAATTGCCTAGATGAGAGAATAGAAGGAATGTGCTTCAAATTTGCCGATGACACAAGGCTAGGAATTGGGGGTGGGGGGGGGTTGATAACTGTGCTGATCAGTTGGCTGGAGTCTTTACCAGGATCTTCAATCGGTCTTTATCCCAGTCCACTATTCCATCTTGTTTTAAGGCTTCCACCATTATTCCGCCACCAAAGAAGTTCCCTATCAATAACCTCAACGATTAGAGACCAGTTGCACTCACTCCTATCATCATGAAGTGCTTTGAGAAATTGGTCTGCCGGCACATCATTTCTGGTCTTCCGTATACATTTGATAAACACCAGTTTGCATACAAAAAAAAATTAGATCTACAGAGGACACTATAGCCATCACTTTTCACACTGCTCTGACTCATCTAGAACAGCGGGAGGGCTATGTGAGGATGCTTTTTGTGGATTTTAGCTCTGCGTTTAACACAATTCTTCCACATAGACTAGTGCCTAAACTTCTGGACCTTGGGCTTTCTAATTCAATCTGCCTTTGGATTATGGATTTCCTGTCTGGCCGCTCACAGAGGGTCAGATTACATAATCATACCTCTTCAGCCCTTATTCTTAACACTGGTACACCACAGGGTGGCGTGTTGAGTCCCTTACTCTATACTCTTTATGTGCATGACTGCATTCCCACTCACGCTAGTAATACTATTGGTAAATTTGCAGATGATACAACAGTGGTGGGACTTATCTCCGGGGGCGTGGATGAGTCTGCCTACTGAGATGAGGTGGACCGGTTGCTTTTGTGGTGTGGAGACAACAACTTGGTCCTCAACACTAATAAGACCAAGGAGCTTATAGTGGATTATAGAAGGAACAGATCAGACCTCCAGCCCTTGCTTATCAATGGAGACCGAGGGGAGCAAGTGGCCAGTTTTAAGTTTCTGGGTGTTACCCTAAAAGAGGACCTGACCTGGGGTGCCCACATTGCAGCCCTGGTCAAAAGGGCCCAGCAGAGATTATGCTACCTGAGGCTTCTCAGAAAACAACAACTGAATGAAAAACTGCTGGTGACCTTCTACCACTGCACCATAGAAAGCATTTTAACATACTGCACCTCTGTATGCTTTGCCAATTGTACAGGGGCAGATAGGAAAGCCCTCCAGAGGGTGAACGCCATTGCCCAGAAGATCATGGGTTGCCCTCTCCCCTCTTTGGAAGAGCTTTATAAATCCCGCTGCCTTAAGAAAGTTCAAAACATTCTCAAAGATCCATCTCATCCTGGGAACCCTTTTTTTGAACTATTACCATCTGGCAGACGGTACAGGATAATAAAAACAAGGACAAATAGGCTGAAAAACAGCTTCTATCCCAGGGTAGTAGCTCTTTTGAATCCTGCTGTATAGTGCAGTGTTGGTGTGGTGTTGGGGGTTTCTGGTTCAATGTGTGAAGGGTGAAGGATGTGTGTTTGTGTTTATTTTCATGGTCATGATGTGCACTGAAGATGGTGTTTGATTTCGTCATACAAGGTGCAAAGGCAATAAAGTAAAACGAAAATGGCAGGAACAAACCTGACACAAACCTGGGATAATTGCTAGCATTTTAGAAGAGAGAAGCCAAGGGGATTTCAGGGGGATCCTGACAGACCTGAGCATTGGCCCTACCCAACAAGATGCAGTTCAGGGCTGAGAAAAGGAATGTCCTGCAGTTAGGCAGGAAAAACCAGAGGCACAGGTACAAGATAGGCTCAGCAATGGTGAGAGGCATCTAGCGGACAACCTTTTGCGTCGGCAATGTGCTCCTGCTGTTGCCAGAAACACCAAGGCAGTTCTAGGCTGCACCAACAGAGGGGCAGCATCAAAACCACAGGACGCAGGATAATGCCATTTTATACTGCGCTAGTAAGGTCCCCCTTGGGAATACTGCATTCGGTTCTGGCCACCGTGATACAAAAATGATGGTGAGACCCTGGAAACAGTGAGGAGAAGAGCAACGCAGATGATCGTGGCTCTTGTAAGCGTGGTTTTAGCGCAGTTTTTAATAATATTTTAATGTCTGCCTCTTTTAATCTTCCCATTATTTTTCACTTGTTCCTGTAATTTTTAAGAGGCTAAATTGTAAGAAGCTAAACTACAACCAGCAGCTAAAGGAACCACAGGCGGGCAGGTTTAGTTTAATGAAGGGAAGGCTTAGAGGAGACTTGATAGCTGTCTCCCAGTGCTTGAACAAGGCTGCCACAGGGAAGAAGGCAAGTTAATTTATTCTCTAGGATAAGAAGCAATAGGCGGAGGCTCCTCAGAGGGAAATGGAACCTGGAGATGAGGAGGAATTTCAGTGGGGATGAATCATCAGGGGGACAGCTTCCCTCCTGGAATTATGGGTACTGGAGTCTTTTAAAGAAAAGATTGGACAACCGTTTCTCCTGGATGGAATCCTGCCTCAGGCAGGGGGTTGGGCTAGAAGACCTCCAAGCTCCCTTCCAGCACTAATGGCTTTATGATTCTAATTTCAGAAGTTTAACTGAAATACTTGACTATTGTGCCTCATTTCACAAAACGCTTTTTACGTGCTGAGAAACGGAGAACGTTGCGCTTAATCGTAAAAACCCAGTGCAAGCAAGCTGGTCAGAAGGCAGGATGTGGCCAAGAGCCCGTTGGAGAAGGCCTCTTCCCCATTGAGCAGGTGGTGGGTGACTGGCCTTAGCCTGATCCAGTCAGACCCCAGGTTGACGAACGGAGGGGCCGAGGCAGAGCAAGGAGCCTGGGCAGCCAGGGACAGAGGAGCACGAGGGCGGCTGGAGGGGGGCAGGGGGCTCCTTTGCCCTCAGCCCCATTTCTTGGAGGGGGCTTAATGGCTTGGGCTGATCGTGGCTTGTGGCTGAGCCCCGTCACAGGGGGATCGTGCCTCGCCCTGGGTGGAGGGGGGCAGAGGGTGCCAGCCAGCCCCATATCCTGCCCAGTGGCCCCCGAGGCAGCCCAGGAGCCCCACCCACCCCACAGGGAGGTCAGGAAAGGCAGCAGAGACACACCTGGAGCAGCCAGGACACTCGGCTGGGACTCGCTCTAGAGCAGGAGGGTCATACCCGAGGCCTGTGGGACGGATCCAGCCCAGCCCACGAGGCAATTGGATCCAGCCTGCAGCGCCATCCTGGTCTACCCAGTGCGAAGGGGAAAGACCGGGCCTGTCTGGCTTCGGCTTTTCAGTTGGAAAGACCACCTAGTTGGCCACCCCCCCGGGCGAGGTCCACCGCAGCCCTGATGCGGCCCTCAATACAATGGAGTTTGGCCCCCACCCTGCTCTAGGTGAAAGCGAGGGGCTGCCGGTAGGAGCTCTGAACGGACAGTCCTCGGAGAATCGGACAAGGAACACGAATGGACATCGGCCACAAAACACTTTTAACCTGTTGAACTCATGCAGAGTGTCAGAGACATTACGCACTCACACACGTCGTAGCCACTAACGGTTAACTTCCTGTTTCTGGAGATTTCTAGGTATAATCCCTCTCTACCTCCTGAGATTCTATTTGCCTTCAGTTTGAGGGGCCAGAGTCACCAAAAGTTGCCTGGTGATGAAGGCAGCGGTAGCCGGGGCAGAAGTCCCCCGCCCTTCCGAGGGGCTGCTCCTCTGCCTTCCTGAGCAGTTCGACTGCCCGCCTGGCCTCCGAAGGCAGCTGGAGCCTCCTCTGGGGGGGGGGTCCAAGCAGCAGGGGAGGCAGGCTCCCAAGGGGGGCTGGGAGGAGCTCGGCAACAGAGCCCGAGTCCAAGGCCCTCCCCGCTGAATGGGCCCCCACAGGGGCCGGCCAGCTGCAGCACCAGGGTTGTAGGAGAGAATAATTCCACAAAAAACGGGTTCTTGGGTGGCTGATTAGAGGGCTTTGTGAATGGCCCAGTGCAATCCTCCCCATGCCCAGTTCCCTCCTGGCACCCACTGGGAGCAGCCAAGGCGGGGGTGTTGCTGCAAGGGTAGAGCAGCGTATGGGCACTGTAGTCCCAGAGGAGGAGGAGGAGGAGGAAGAGGCATGAACCTTATGTAGAAAAGGGCAGGCGTGCTGTGAGAAGGTGCTCCTGGCACTCTGAAGGTTTCCTTTTCACTGGGCTCCAGTGGGTGAGCTGCCCAGCGGCCTGGTGCTGGCATTCGCTGGCATTCCTCTTCCTTTCTTCCAGTGAGATTCTGGCCTGGGCCAGTGCTCAGATCCACTGCCAGTTGCACACCAGTGAGAGCCGGGTTGCTCTGCCACCTTCACAAGATACCAGCTATGATGCCCAGGCAGAAAACGAGACTGTCTTTGTGCCCAACCGAGGTAAGTTCCATCTCAAGGAGGGAGCCTCTTGGGGAGGGGCTGAGTCTCTACCGGGGCTGGTGCCCATTGCCTGACCCCAGAGGGTCAAAGGGGGGCCCTTGCTGGTCTTCCAAGGGAGGCATGGCACACTGAAAACAGAGCCCACCATCGTGGCAAGGGAGGCACGGAGGCCGTGAGCGGACCGTTTCCTTGGGCCTCTCTGGACAAGGAGAGGACGGGAGATCCCCTGCATGGGCTTCGGATGACTGCTCCTCACCAGGAGGCGGAGGGAGGGAGGGAGGGAGGGAGGGGTGGCTTTCTGTGGTTTTGAGCCCCGGGAAGCCAAAGGCATCCGCCCTCTTGCTCACAATTGCTGCAGAGACTTTGAACGTGAAATTTGCAAACTTCATTTGCTAATTACTTTTGGAAATTGCTCATTAAGTCCTTATAAGCTATTCAAGACTTTTGGACCTTGAGTCTTCTTTCAATCTTGAATAAAATAAAATAATCATAAGGTTTAGAACGTAAAGAATGTGAAATAAACAGCAAAATAAATATTTTGAGTATAGAAGCATATACACAGACTAAGGATCCAGAAAAAAATGGAATAGTGAAACTTCTACAGTTAAATTTTTCAAATAATTCTAAAGAAGTGTTAGTCATGGGAAACAGATTTTGTCTTGGTTATTACAAGGCAAAAAAATATTTTCATTATTTCAAAGGAAGAGAAGTGTGACACTGTGACAGTACTTGAATGAACTAAAGATTAAGACTGTTAGAAGTAAAAGGGAGAAATGTAAGGGTGACAACAAAATAGAGGCACTCATGCACTTATGGCCATTAGTTCCAGTGACTGTTCAAAGTTACGACCGTGCTGGGGGGAAAAGGAGCCAAGCAAGGCCTTTGTCCACAGAAGAAGGGGCCCCGGCGGTGGCCCTGCGATCACAGGAGCCCCGAATGTGGGCGCTTGGCCACCCCCTCCCCCCTCCCCTTTGGGCCTCCCTGTCAGAAGCAGCAGGGGGTGTGTGTGGGGGGGGTGGAGGACCAGCTGCTGCTGCTGCCCCTAGCCCCCCCTCACGTTCCCCTGAGACCCAGTTTCCCTGCGCCCCACAGGATCTGCCCCCCTCCCCTTGTCGTCCCCCCCCCCGCTGCTTGCAGGCAGCCTGTCCGGGGCACCTGGCCTGGAGAAGGAGGCTTGTGGGAAGAGGAGGAGCCCATTCTCCCCATCCGTGGGAAGCCCCGACCACCCCCCCTCGCTGCACCCTCCAGATCCCGCCGTGGGGCTTCCCAATGGTTGGAAGAACCAGACTCCATGCGGGAGGAGAGCCTCGCATAGGCCAGGCGCGCCTGACAAGTGGGGGCAGCAGCAGAGGCAGAGGGGGCTGGCCTGGCTGTGGGTCTAGAGGCGCCATTTCTCGGGGGGCAGCGGCAGGACTGGGGGGCTGAAGGCAGTACCGGGGGCAGCTGGCTGGCTGCTGAAGACGCCTGGCCTCCGCTCCCCCCCGCCCCCCCCACAAACACACCCAGACCCAGTGGCGCCACCAAGTGTCAGTCCGCAGGGCAGCCCAAGGGGCGCAGGTGGGGGCAGCTGCAGTCAAAAGGGCTGCCAGCCAGGGTGGGGGCTTCCAGGGGCAGCCATGGCTTTGCATGGCAGCCCCCTCCCGGGGACACCCCCATAATCCTGACCTGGGATTCCACCCTCTCAACGGACCACCCTTCCTGGGTGAGCACAAGGGGAGGAGCCAGCGGTTGGGCAAAGGGGCCACAGGGCACCTCGCTTAACAGCTGCTTGGTTCAAGGACATTGGTGCTTGTATGTCGGGGCTGCTTGTACGCTGCTACCTGCAGGCTCGTGGCTGGTCCCAGGACCCGAGGGAGAATGTCGCAGGCTGCAAAGGAAGGGAGCCCGGGGGGGGGGGGGGGGGGGGAGGGCCCGCTTTTGGGGCCTCGGGGGGGAGGGGCGGGGGTGGGGGTGGCTCAATTGGTTTATGCTTGTGGCAAAGGTCGTTATTTGTTTCTCTTCTTATTTTTTCCCTTGAGTTTTTTTTCTCCTTTCTCTAAGTCTAGTTTGTACTAGATTTCACAATTATAACCAAATTTCTTAATAAGAGCTGCATTTAAAAAAAAAAAGGAAGGGGAAAGAAGCCTTGCTGTGGACTAGTGACATGCGTTGCCTTGCAGGAGAGCGGGGTCAGTGCATCCTGTCGACGCCCCCAAAGATCCTCTTCTGTGACTTGAGGCTGGATCCCGGCGAGTCCAAGAGCTGTGAGCACAGACTCCCCTTCCTGTGGGCCGCGCGGAGGGGCGAGGCAGGCGGGTGGCCGCCCCAGAGCGGCTGTAGGGAACCTGCCCTGCCCTCCCCACCTGGCGGGAGTCCGTTTCCGTGCCTGCCCCGTCCCGGCTGGCCCAGCTCAGCGGCCCCCTCCCCGCCCTCTGCCCCCAGACTCCTACTGCGAGACGCTGCCGGTGGACGGGCCGCCCTCCTTCCGTGGCCAGGCGGTGAAGTACGTCTACAAGCTGACCATCGGCTGCCAGCGGGTGAACTCGGCCATCAAGCTGCTCCGAGTGCCCTTCCGAGTGATGGTGCTGCAGGGTAAGGCCCCTCCCCTCCGCCTGCCCGGGACTCCAGCCTGCCAGGCCTCTGACGCGGCTTCCCCGTCTCCCCAGGGCTCAGGGGCTACCCCTTTCCCCAGGATGAAGCCGTGGCCCCCTCCAACCCCTTCTTGGAGGAGGAAGAGGGTGGCGCCAAGAGGTCCTCCCGCCTGGCAGACCTGGCCACGGAGCTCCTGACGGTCGCCACTTCGCGGCGGAGTTTGCGTAAGTCCCCCTCCACCCCAGACGACTGTCCCTGGCAGCCCCCACCCAAACCCAGCCTGTGGCCTCGGCACCTGTGGACCCCCCCCCCCCCGACTGCGCCCCCCTCCCCCCCGTCGTGCCCAGGGGTTCCAAGAGTCCTGCGGCTCCTTCCTGACTCCGGCCATCAGGGGGCGAGGCTGAGCACCACAGGCCTCATCCATCCCCCCCTCACCCATCCCGGGGCGGCCCCCCCCCCCGTGGGCCCCCGCTGGGGCCCCCCCCCCCCCCCCCCCGAATCATCTCAGGGCAGCGCTCCCCGTCCTCAGATCTGTTCAGCATCAGCAGCGCCCAGGGCCGAGTGGCCACCTTCTGCATCTTCAAGACCGTCTACAAGATCGGGGAGGACGTGGTGGGGACCTTCAGCTTCTCTGAGGGGGACACCCCGTGCCTGCAGGTGAGGGGGCCCAGGGGCCACCCAGGGGGGCTGCGGGGGGGGACCCACCTGTGCTGACAGGCTGCTCTCCCCGCCAGTACCTGGTGAGCTTGCAGACGGAGGAGCGGGTGCAAGAGGCCTTCCAGCGCCACAGGGCCCAGGCCGCCTCGTACAGCACCCACGCCCGGCACCAGGAGTCCTGCCTGCACACGGCCCGGACCAGCTTCAGCCTGCCCATCCCGCTCAGCTCGGCCCCGGGATTCAGCACCAGCGTTGGTGAGCCTGCGCAGCCCCTCTGGCCCTCTGGGGGAGGACCTGCCTGGCTCCCCTCGCCCTGAGTGCCTGCCTGCCTGCCTGCCTTCCGCAGTGTCCCTCCAGTGGAGGCTCCACTTCGAGTTTGTCATCCTGCGGGACGTGGCCGAGGCGCCCGTGGCTCCCAAGGACCAGTCGGAAGCCGCCAGCTGGACGGGAGGGGAGCAGATGGACGTGGACACTTTCAGCTGGGATTTGCCCATCAAGGTGCTGCCCACCAGTCCCTGGCTGGCCACCTCCGTCTCCCAGCTGCCCAGCTGCAGCTCTCTCTCCATCTGAACCGAAGGGGCCGGCAGGAGAAGAGCCCGGGGACTCTGCCCCCCGCGGAGTGCCAGGCTGTTGGCAGGCTGTGGCGGGCAAGACCTGGTCCTCTCCTGGCTGGGGCGTTCCCCCCTCCCCCCGCCCTGTGCCTTATGACCTTCCCCTCTCGGCCGGCTCCCAGGGGCCTGCAGCAACCCGGGTTCCAGAGGTTATTCATGGGGCCCCTCCAGCCCCTCCCCATCCGAAAAGGAAGGGCCCGAGGCCCCCCTCCCCCCTGGGGCTTCAGGACTGCAGCGTGGGCTGTGCTCCGTTTAGCAGCCCTGGAGGGGCCCCGCGTTTAAGGCCGGAAGCCCGTTCTGCCTGGGGTCGTGCCCACTCCAAGGCCTTTGCCCTTCAGACCTTCTGGTCAAGTTGCCCAGGGAAGAGTTTGGCTTTCCTTGCAGCCGGGGACGGGCACCAGCAAGGGGTTCTCTGCCCAGGTGCTGGGTGGGCGTGGCCATGGTGGGCGTGGCCTAGTCGGCCTCCCGTACCACGGCTTGGGGGGGGGGGGCGTGTTTTGCCGTCCCCGGACTCCGGAGTCTTTCTTCCCGAGCCCCTACGGACCCCCAGCAGCCCACCCCCGCTCACCGCCCTCAACTTACTCTGTAGATTCAGTTACTTCGTGTTACCTTTTGAGGAAAGAAATGCCAGTATACGTGTGACTTTCCTGGTGCATTTAGCTGAACAAGGACTGAATAAATGGAAGTAACCCTGTGGAGTTGTGTCTTGCTGGTGTCTGGCCACCAGGCTCCGTGGAGGTCCAGGCCCGTTTGGGGGAATGATCATTATTAGACTTACTGGCTGGCTTTGATTTCCACAGATGCACCCCAAGCTCGACTTCTCCGCTTGCTTTTGGGGTGGAGGGAACGGATGGTCCCCACTGGCTGCAAGAGGCTCCGTAACTGCTAGGTTATCCCCACAGCCTGACTCTCTTTCTCTCTTGCACGCCTGACCCTCTCCAGAGGAGGCCAAAAGAGCCGGGGAGGGAGGGAGTCCAGGAACCCACCCCCCCGCCTCCCCAGGGAACCAGAGGCAGGAGCCCTCGGCGGACAAGGGAGTCCCTCACCTGCTGGCCCTGCCCCTTTCCTGGTCAAGGTGCCCCTGCTGGACCCCTTCCCTTCTGCTCCTTGGGCTCCCCCTGCAGGGTGGGGGGCCTGGGCTCTGGGGTGGGCAAAGGGGGGGGGGGGGGGGGGAAAGGGGGGGGGGGGGGGGGGGGCGGCTTCTTTTCATCCCCTACAGAGCCAGCCGGTCCAGAGTGACGCTGGAGGGAGTGCAGGCAAAGGAGGCCTGGGTGAAGAGAGAGGAGACCTCTACGCTAAGCCAGGGGTGTCAAACTCAAGGCCCAGGGCAGGCAGGACCTGGCCCACACTGTGGCCGCATCCAAGGTCAACCACAGCCCTGGTGTGGCCCTCAGTGAAATGGAGCCTGAGCCCCCTGCTCTAAGCAGTAGGGAGGGAAGCCTCACCAGAAGCCCAACCCGCCAGGAAGGCCTGAGCGAACCTCCCGGAAAGAGGCTCCCCTGTTCCAGGAGGGGACGGATGGCCAAGCATGGAGGCCCCGCCAATCTCCAAACAAGGGTCTTTAATAGGGGGCCTGGCCTAAGCTCCCTTTGGGCTGACAGGTGGCCCTGGAAGCCACTGAGAGAGCCAAGAGGGCCAGAATGGTTGCATCGCCCCCGTGGGACCTCCAGAGATCATCCACAAGGGTAGCCAAGCCAAGGCTGTCTCCAAAACACGAAAAGGGCCCCAGTTATCCGCTGCATCCAGGGCTTTTGCACCTGAGCACTGCCCCCCCCCCCCCGGATATCCATGATCCATTGTCTCCTGTCATCTTCCAGGTCTGCCAGACTGGTCTCTCCATACCTGGGGGAGACGCCACTCCCAGGGGACCTTTTCAGTGCAGCTGAGGACCCTTCCAAAGTGGGGGAGCCCTTCTTCTCTTCTCCTGGGGGGGGGGTCTTCTCCCACTGCAGGCCAGAGCCAAGAAACGTCAACACTGCGGAGGACTCTCCCTCTCGCTCTCCCTGCAACGGCCCTCCCACCTTCTGGCAGAGGGAAGGTCTGAGGGCTGTGCAGAAAAGCCCCTCCCCCCCAGCAAACCCCCCCCCACTCGGTCAGCCGGGATTTACTCCATCCCTCCCTCCAGAATTCTTCTCTGGGGTCAGGATCTAAACCGCTCCCCCATCTCAATCCGTCCCTGACCACCGTTCCTCGGGAGCAAAACCAGTGGGGGGGGGGGGGGGTAAGGGGGCCGGGAAAAGGGGTTGGGAAAGGGGGGGGGGGAGGTTTATGGGGGGGGAGGGTTTCCGAATGTTTCATTCCCAGGCTAAGTAAGATCTTCAGCAGAGGCCAGGGAACAAGCCCCAGCACCTGTAGACTTGGCTACCTGGACCAGCTCACCTATGGAACTTGGCTTAAGGAGGCCAGCATTGCCCAGGGGCCGGTTGTTCTTCTCAGTCATGGTTTCCAGAAGAAGACAAACTAAACCCTGCTGGCCTTAGACACGCGGTTTGCCTTCCGAGAAGTCAAAAGGGGCCAGGGGAGGCCGGTGTGGGAAATGGCTGTGCAGGTGAATTGAGAGCTAAAGAATGTGGCCTGCAACCTCTCACTCATAGTGTTGCAGCAGATCCTGTTTCCAAATCAGGACACAAGACTACGAAAGGTTGGAGAATACAGGTTTTTATTTGTGCACAAAGGTTCAGAGCTTTAGCATGGCAAATTCTGAACCCCTGGCTCTTCCTGAGGCGTCGCTTTTATACATTTCATAACCTCAGCCTAGCCCGGGGCGTTTCTTATGTTAAACTATACCAAAAAGGAGAAGTACATTTCTGTTATTTTCCAGACCCATCCTTATTCACTGAAACATGCTTACTTCCAGTTCAGCAATTTTGTGGTTTTGCACAACATTTCTATAAGAAGCAAGGTAAGGGGTCAGAGAATTGCTGGTAAATGCATATTTTGTTTTGGACCTTCCAGGCTGCTTCGTTAGCAGCCCACAGTGCGTTTGTAATCAGGACATTCCCGTTGCAGCCCCTGAAACTCCAGGTGCAAACATTTCTCCTAGCTAAAGGATTGTCCTTTGTAGATAACAGAAGGGCGGGGAGGGAGCCGAGGCCCATGGCCAGGAGCAAGTAATGGAGGTTCCCTGCTGTGTTTATTAGTCCCCCCCCCCTGATTTATGCCGGAGAAAGCGATGCCAGGAAGGGGGAGGGGGGAGATGAAACAAGGCCTTTGGGGGAGGAGACCTCTTTCAGTAGGGACTGACTTTGGCAAATGCCACGGAAGCCTTCGCTGTGGGCTTCCGGTCCTGCCTTGGATTCCCCGGCAGTAAAATGCCGTTTATAATACAGCTGCTGAGAGGATGACAAACCATCTGCTCCAGGCTCCCTCCCCCCTCTTTGATCTTTTTCACAGCTTCACCGAACTTACCTGAATTAGGGAAAGTTCATTAAGTGATTCTGTTTTTAGGGTTAGGTTCAAACAACACAGGCCTGGCTGGTCTTATCTCATTTAAAAGAGTTGCCAAATCAGTAGACAGTGTATCCTCTTCTGTCAACAGAGAAGTTCCCCTCGGGATGGTAGACGTATCTGCTGAGCTCTGGCTACCCCAAGTCTAAAAGGAAGAGTTAGAGGAATTGGGGTGAGTTCGGAAGGAGAAACTAGCCAAATGAGGAACCGTTCAAGGACCTGGATATGGTCGGCCTAGAGATGAGATGATTCTCTCTTGACCCAGAGAGCAGGACCAGACCTATCAAGGACAAATCTCAGGAAGGAGGTTCAGGCTAGACATTAAAACTCCAAGATATTGAGTCTTAAGGTATTGAGATTTAGTAGCTGACCAGCTGTTGTAAGGCTGTTGCAATGAGGATGAATCAGCATGGTTATCGCTGCTTTAAGACTGACCCACAAGGTTTTACCACTTTAAGAAGCTGTCTATATATATATATGAGGCCATGAGAGGGCGTACCTCTGTCTCCTTGTGTTCTGTCTCCATTGTAGTTCTCCCTGCAGATTAGTTGCCAGGTATTTGCCTACCACATATTTGTATGTATATAGCTGTCTTGTATATATACCGCTGTTAAATGACAAAGCCTCTGTGTGCTGTGTTTTGCTCCTGGGTTGTCTCACAATAGTCACGCTGCAAACACTCTGACAAGATGACTCTGAGTAACAGTAGAAATAAACACAAGAAAGGAAAACCAATCACTCAGCAAAGACGGTGCTTAATTCAGAAGGAAAATTGCACATTCTTTACAACCACTATATCCTGCCACAGCTGCCTCCCCGCATCCTAGCCCAAAGCTTGGGGAGAAAAACAGAACTCAAGGGTTTGTCCAGAGAAGAGTGGGATGGAAACCATTTGGGCTTCTTGAGGGCAGGAGAGTGGCAGAAAAGGACCCTTCCTGGATCCCAGTTTTATGGATGGTCCCGGGAGCATCCCAGTCCCACTTGTAACTACCCAGACAGGCAGAAACCATGGGAGACAGGTGGGAGCCAGGGCCTGTGCCAGGGCTCCAGGTATGGTAATCAGTGCCTGAAACTTCCTGACTGTATCAGAAGACAGCAGCACCGGCTGCCGCCCGAGGAAGTGCATCCTGCTTGATTAGAGATCTTCAGAGAGAGGCCGGATTGAATGAGATGATTCTTCTCTATCCAAACTATTCTGGGCACCATTTACATTTTAGGAAGAATGCTGGCAAGGTGGGGCAGGAAGCAGGACTATCTCTCAAGAGAAAGTTGTGGGCCTCCAGTGGCACTTCAGTTGAAGATGGACCGAAGACCGCGATCGTTCGCAGCTTTGATCTGTGCTTATCCAGATCAGTGGTGGTATTCAGCCAGTTCATACCGGATCGGGAGAAACCGGTAGCAAGATTTTGGTGTGGGTCGCTGAACCGGTAGTAAGTTCTGGCTGGCCATGCCCCCCACCTGGTCGCCCTCCCGCTCGATGCTCACTCACCCCGCCTGCCTGCCTGACATTCGCCTAAGGTATTTCTTTTTTCCCCTCCTGATAATCAGCTGTAGATAAGATCAGTTGTGCCGGGATTCTCCTTGCTAAGGCCCAGGAAGGCAAAAAATGGAGGGAGGAGCTCAGCACCCCCCCTCCATTTTTTGCCTTCCAGAGTCCTAGAGGAGCCTTGGGGGAGCAAAAATGCCCCCCCCCCGAGTCTTTTCTGAGGCTAGGAAGCTCCCAAAGAGGAGCTTGGAGGGCTGCTGCGTGCCCCTCCTATGCTCTGTTCCTTTTCTTCCTGAGTCCCAGAGGAGCCTTAGGGGAGCAAAAATGCCCCCCAGAAGCTCCTCTGTGGCTAAGAAGCTCCCAAAATGGGTGGGGGCTGCAAAAAAACCCCATGCCCACCCAATCACCTGGCCACGCCCACCAAGCCATGCCCACAGAACCGGTAGTAAAAGTTTTTGAATCCCACCACTGGACCGGATCCATCTGACCCACCTCGGAGGGGTGGGGGAAGAGGAGGAGACCGCCAGCCGGGTCGAGGGGAGCCGCATCTCCCCTGCCTGGCTAGGTGTACTGCCCTTGAAGACAGGAGGTAGCGGCAGTTTTAATGGCTGCCCTGAAGACGGAAAGCTTCCGGGATTTCAATGTGTGCTGGAGCGGTGAAGCGGTGAGTGGCGTGTAACCAGGCAAAGGATTTTGTATTTTTCTTTGATAACCCCGAGAAACAAAAGGAAAGAGCCTTCATTTAAGAGTGTGGCAGTGGCAA